CATCTATTTCATAGTATCCCCTGCTCAGGAAAGGTGATGATGTCTTATCAAGAACGCATTTTTGGAAGTAAAAGAGGAATGTTTATTTTAAGGAAGGGACTACTATGGATTCTATTTTGAATTTTCTATTTTTCAAATGGCAAATTGAACACTCCTACAAAGCAAATGCTACCTACCAAGGTTTTCACTCATAATGACATTTTGACCCATGTTAAGTGAAATATGCCAAAAATACAATATGAAAAACCTTATATGCTAAAAAAACAACTAGCTAAAAAATTTCTAAATGTCTTTCCATATTCATTTTGAACTGGAACTCTACCTCATTGTGTCCTTGTTTTAAAATTCAATTTATAACTAATAAAAACACATCACAGAAAGGGGACTGAAAAGAGAACACAAACTTTAGACTGAAACAAACTAAACACTTCAAGTGAATTGCTACGATGACATACAGGTCAGTCCCAAATGACTAAAATAATTTTAATGAATGGAAGATAATTACTTATTTACACAACCAAGTCTCATGAGAGTCTCACATGTAGACACTCCAAAAGAAACACAGAACATCACAGAAATACTAAGATGATATAAGGACAGGCTTTTTCAAAAAGATCAAGAGAAGCATATTCTAGTTCCAGGTTTAGGACTATTCCAGCCAAATAAAATTAGTGTAGCAGATATACCACAAACTCTCTTACCAAGTTACCACACTAAAAAAAATTATCAACCAAACAGTTGCTATAAGATAACTTATTCCTCCTATTAACTTTAATTTCAGATCATCCATAATTGAAAAAAAAAATTCTAGAGTACACTATGCTCAAACCTAATACTCATAATAATTAACATTTATATTGATTTTTACCACTTTTAACGTACTTAAGCAAAGCTTAATGGTAAATCATTTAGTCCTCTTAAATGATAAAAGATGGCTGTTAGATATAGATTTTATTACAAAACTTCAGAAAATCGTTTTTCATTAAGGATACAGTAACAAGATGAAGTGTATCCTTAAAGTGCATCCAAGATTTATCTTATTTGAAAATAATATCATAAAGGAAAAAACATATATATATCTGTGTGCATATATATGTGTGTAGGTACATATATGTATGCATACAAACACACACATATATATTTATATATACATATGCACACATCAACTGGCCATCAGTTATACACTGCTTATGGATAATTGCCAGCCTATGGGCTGGGACTTGTTTCAAGAGTTTGTTATTTGCATCTTAGTCCATTAATCCCATGAAGGAAGAAATGCAGTGTTGTGGAAAAAGTGTTGAGACAAAACACTTTACCATGTGACCATATTATTCTGCTTTTCTCCCAGAATTGTTATGAGGCTCAGGCGAGATGCTTCTTGTAAGAGTATGAATATTATCTTCCACCTCAACATCTATATGTTAACTTTAATTTAAAGAATACATTAAAAATTTTGAAGTCTTTATTTGGTGCTAAAGCATACAAGACCTTTTCTTAAGCCTACTTTCATGATATTTTTAAATGATTTCAGTTTAACTGTATAACATTTCTTCTGCCTGTCCTGACTGTGATTGTAAGTTCTAAAAACAATGAACCGTCTGCTGTAGATGTCCATTCTGAATACCTTCCCCAAAGTATGCATGCTATGTAATGTATAGGCACATCTAGTGCATGTATCACATATATTAAGAACACAGTTATATAAAATAACACCTGACAGAGTCAGTTCAGCCCCAATGGTGCAAGTCTCAGATGTAGAATGCTTCTGTGCAGTAATTTTATAGTTTTTTTTTTTTTTTGAGATGGAGTTTCTCTCTTGGTGCCCGGGCTGGCATGCAGTGGTGCGATCTCAGCTCACTATAACCTCCACCTCCCGGGTTCAAGCAATTCTCCTGCCTCAGCCTCCCAAGTAGCTGGGATTACAGGCATGCACCACCACACCTGGCTAATTTTGTATTTTTAGTAGAGACAGGGTTTCACCATGTTGGTCAGGCTGGTCTCCAACTCCTGAGTTCTTGTGATCTGCCAGCCTCGACCTCCGAAAGTGCTGGGATTACAGGCGTGAGCCATTGCACCTGGCCTATGGTCATTTCAAACTAATTTTTAGTATTAATCCCATTCACAGGTATACAATTAAAAGTTGTTACCAATATGGTAGATCACATGAGATCCCTTTATACCTTAAACCCCCAAACATATTCATTTTGACATATGCATTTGCGTTACTAATTTTCTTGCTATTCGCTAAAGTGATAGAAAAGCAGAGAGCCAGGCTGTGTCTCTAAGAAAGATCTCCCTAGAACAGGGCGACCAAGACAAGTAAAGGCAGCACTGCTAACCCCACAGGTGAAAGCCTGTGCCTGTCATTGTCACTCCTTTAAGGAACAGAGAGTGTAATCTTGCATGAGCTTTTTGCGCCACACTATGTAATAATTATTTCATTAGGATAAGGTAATTCTGTAGTTATTCCAATGACATAAAATCAAAATGATCACAGAGAGCATCTACAGTGCATTATATTTGGAGATTTGGCTACACAGAAACCCTTAACATCTTTACCACTTTGGAGAACTGAGGACTTTGCCTTAATAACTAACTAAAGTCTAACACATTGTATGTTACATTCCTATATGTTATGTAGAGTCATGATTCCAGAATTTCTTTCAAGATATCCACATCTGGTAGCTTGAGAGAGATGGCCTTTGTATTGCCCAATGTCTCCTCTTCCTGAGCCCACAAGCTTCATATCCTAGACTGTCTTTGCAGTTGGGCTGGGGCATTCTCGCTGAAGGTGACACATGTCATGTACAGGCTTGGCCTTTAAAAAACGTGGCACCACATGCTAGCAATCGGTTTCCCCTGCTTCAGCAATGTGTTCCAGTTAGCTTAGATATAAAATGTGAAATGCTACTCAAGCCACATCAGATTTTCCATCAGATTTTCCATTAATAAGAAAAAAACTTAATAAACCTAATCTCAGATAAGCCTCTCATATCTGGAGCCGATCATTACTGTAACATAGACGCAGGAGGAAGTGAGGTACAGAGGCAATATGATAGATTAGTGCCCTGGCCAACTGAAAACAATAAAAATACCAAAAAAAAAAATTAAGGGACTCTTCTAAAACGCATGAAATGTATCCGTTTAGAAAAAAGAATTCTAGGAGGCAGAGGTTGCAGTGAGCTGAGATCGTGCCACTGCAGTACAGCCAGGGTGACGGGGGAGACTCTGTCTCGAAAAAAAAAAAAAAAATTATTCCCAGAAGCCAAAAGCTGTGTTTTGATATAAAAAGAAGCTCCAAAGCTAACTTTCATCTGGACAGTGTTCAGCAAAACAGATGAACTTGATCTTCAGTTTCTAAAGCCTCCAAATATGGAAGATTATTAGAAGAAAAGGCCCAAGGCCTGCCCAAGGTGGACATCTAAAAGGAGGCTGTACCACATAAAGCAGAGCTCCTAAATATCAAGATGAACATAAACAGCACTCCCACTGGACTGCTAGAAAAGGGGGCCAACCAAACCTTGGCACTCCATTGCTGAGGAGATGAAAAAAGTCTCCCCTGAGCATTTGTAACCAGACATCAAATTCCCAGCAGAATTACATTCAGAATCTACACTGAGAAATGTGGTCCAAAAAAGTATCAAAGTGTCCTAAGTACTTAGTGTTCTCACAGAACTGGGCTAGAAGTTCACTCAGCAGCCAGGAAAAAGCAAATGTAAATTCTCCTTGGATTTACTTTTAACCCACGCCTCAAATAATTCCCACACTTAAATTTCTCAGAAATGTGAGGTCCTGGCCAAAAATCATAAAACAGAAGGAATTATGATCATGAACTATGAAAGCAAAAGTGAACATAAAAGGCAGCTGGCTTACTTGCCCTATTCTTTTTCTTATTTCTTCTGTACCTCCAATTAAATGTATTTAATATCCTCTCCTTGTATCATATACATCTCAGCATTTTCGTATTTCCTAGGTCTTAAACTCTCTGGGCTGCATTCTGAAGTTCTTCACCACCTCTGTGTTCTATCCACTGTCCTGCTTCAGCTATGCCTCTCTGCTGCTAGACCCACCCTCTGCGTTTTGAATCCTGCCATGATTCTTCTTTCTTACATGCTTGCCCTTTTCTCACATTTTCAAGGGACTCTTTCTAAAAACATAATTATCAAACTGACTTTATAGTCCAGAATAATTCTAACATTTGAAACGTAATGGTTGAGAGTTTTCCAGAACGGATGACAGACAGCAATCTATAGATGGAAGGAAATCCAATGGATCCCGAGCCAAATGCATTTCAGAAAGCTCATAATTATACCAATTATAAGGAAAATACAGAAACCCCAAACAGTAAAATACCTTAATGCAGAAGTCATATTTTAGATGTGGCTTTTTCTATCAGTGAATCTGCTAATTATGCTTTTAAAAAGTATCGTACTGCATCCTTAACTAGTAATATATTGACCAGAGCATCTATACAGAGACAAGCTACAATTGAATACTTTAGCTGTCATACCATCAATTCAATGCAATATAACAAAGCTCAATGCTTCACAATAGCAGTAAGTTTCAAACTTCAGAAATTGTTGGACATCTATGGATATTTAACAAACATATAATTTGATAACAAATCTAAACAGCATATCTGTGCACCTCACACTGCTAACTGAAATCTTTTAATGACTTTCCAAAACCTGCGGCAAAAAGAAGTTCACATTCCACTGTGTGGAATTTGAGGCTCTTCACAATCAGTATGCCAATTAGTTTTCTAGTCTTATCTTCTGGCATTTTCCAGGCCACACCCCATATTTTATCTGCACAGTTACCTGGAAATCCTACAACATATCCTGCATCTCCATATTTCTTTGCTGGTTCCTCTTAACTTGAATAAGTTTCCCGTAGTCATCCATAGCAAGCATCTGCTCATCAATGAAGATTCTGTTGAACTGTAAGCTCAGTAGCAGGTATGTTGCATGAAAGGAAGGATTTCTGTTTATATTTTTAACTGCTCTATCCCTGAAAGGGGCGTGACAAAGAGCAGGTACTCAGGAATTATCTTTTGAACTAATTGAGTGAATAAAATGTGCCCCAGTTTTCTATTCTTTCATTTTTTGGTACTAATCTTTGAACACTGCATTGTGATTACATTTTTATAAATGTCTCCTTCATTGCACGTAATCTGGAGAGCAAGGATAATATACAACTATTTATTTTTATCCTTAACTGCCATGCAGTGCAACAAATACGTAGAAGGCAATCTGTAGCTGTTGACTAAATAAATGGATAGTATAGTTTGAAATCTGAATTCTTCACCTCCCCTTCCATATTTTCCCAGAAAGTAACATGGCTAGGACATGCAAAGATCCAGGAAAAAAATGCAAAACTGGCTAAAGAATAGTGAGCATGCATTGACCACCCCCAGACCCCATGCATTAACCAAACCACAATTTCTAGCAATGCCATGCTACAGATGGTGGGTAGTGACAGGGTAGAAGCAAAATGTCAGTAGTACACTACAATGAGAGCGAAAATGGAAAGAACTATCCACTATCTTTACAAAAAAGTTACCAAATCATATTTTTAAAGTGAAATCCAGTAAACCTCATAAAATTTGTTTGTTTAGTAAGAATTTGGTTCTATGCGCTACATTGATAGAAAATGTCCTTAGGCATAGGCAACTACTTCATGACTAAAACACCAAAAGCATTGGCAACAAAAGCCAAAATAGACAAATGGGACCTCATCAAACTCCAGAGTTGCTGTACAGCAAAAGAAACCATCATTAGAGTGAACCGGCAACCAACAGACTGGGAAAAAATTTTTACAATCTACCCATCTGACAAAGGGCTAATATCCAGAATCTACAAAGAGCTAAAACAGATTTACAAGAAAAAAACAAACAAGCCCATTCAAAGTGGGTTAAGGATATGAACAGACAGACACATTTCAAAAGAAGACATATATGAGGCCAAGAAACATGAAAAAATGCTTATCATCACTGGTTATTAGAGAAATGCAAATCAAAACCACATTGAGATACCATCTCATGCCAGTTAGAATGGTGATCATTAAAAAAATCTGGCGACAATGGATGTGGAGAAATAGGAACAGTTTTACACTGTTGGTGGGGGTTTAAACTAGTTCAACCATTGTGTGGTGCTTCCTCAAGGACCTAGAAATAGAAATTCCATTTAACCCAGCAATCCCATTACTAGGTATATACCCAAAGGATTATAAATCGTTCTATTATAAAGACATATGTACATGTATGTTCACAGCAGCACTGTTTACAATAGCAAAGACCTGGAAACAACCCAAATGCCCATTGACGATAGACTGGACAAGGAAAATGTGGCACATGTACACCATGGAATACTATGCAGCCATAAAAAATGGTGAGTTTGTGTGCCTTGTAGGGACATGGATGAATCTGGAAACCATCATTGTCAGCAAACTAACACAAGAACAGAAAATCAAACACCGCATATTCTCACTCATAGGCAGGTGTTGAACAATGAGAACACATGGATACAAGGAGGGGAGCATCACATACTGGGGTGTGTTGGGAGGAGCCAAGGGAAGGACAGTTTGGGGGGTGGGGAGGTCGGGAAGGGATGAAAAGGGGAGCAATGCCAGATGTGGGTGACGGGGGGAGGGAGATAGCAAACCACATTGCCATGTGTGTACCTATGCAACAATCCTGCATGATCTGCACATGTACCCCAGAACCTAAAGTACAATAAGAAAAAAAAGATCATGAAAAAAAAAAAGAAAAGAAAATGTCCTTAATGTTTATCATTGGAAATGAATGACTTCATCATTAGAAATTATTCTGAGACAGAGAAACTAATCACCAGGCAACTTATGAATAGTAAAAGCTAACGACTTTCTTCTAAGTGCCTAACAAAATCAAACCCAGTTTCCAATTATATCCAATTATAATGACAACAGTCAAAATATATAAGAATTACGTTAGCAACATTTGCCGAGCCTTGTGTTTCCCGTTGAAGATGTTCTCAAATGTCATTCACATTCAGCTATTTAAAAAACAAAAGTGCTCAATTTAATTCTTAGTCAATTTAAAGCTACAACATTTTCTCTTGTTTTCTAGGCATGATAAACTGAAAACTTTCAGGCTTCTCCTCCACATTTTTGCTGGTCAATGACTAGAGGCAGAAAATTAAAGCAGCCACAAGAAAGCACACATGTTCAATTCCACTCACAGTTCAGACCCAAGCAGGGCCAATGTTTCTTCCTAGTGATAATGTTTCCTTCTACTCAAGTGTTTCTACTCAATCTTTCCTTCTACTCAACGTTTCCTTTTACTCTAGTGTCAGAAGCTTTGTGAAGGAAAGGGCTCACATTAGATTCGCTTTTGACTTACTGGTTGGAGCAGGTAGATCAGAGATTCCTCTTGGATTATTATAATTGGAAAAGGAGTGATGTGAGTCGCTTGGAACAGGGTATTCACAGATGCCATAATCTGGTCAAAACGCCCAGCAAGGCCTCCCAGTGTCACGATCACATCAACCTAAGCAAGGCAGGTAAAATTGGGAGTCACATATCTTAAAAGTTTTAAATAATTAAACAGTATCAAACACCTAAATAGAGCTTTCAATACTATATCTCATTTGATAAGAAATAAACAGATACATTTCCAGTCTTCAGATAATGAAATTAAGCTGCCAGTTCAAGGTCACATAATTAATAAGTCACAGTGCCTGGTGTGAAAACCAACGCTTTTAAGTACATATTATAAGTTTTTCCCATTTGTCTATTCACTTAGAAAATTAGCCATCTCTTCTTTTAAAACTCTGTTTCCGTGTTCCTTTTCATGTGGAAGTCTTCTCTGATTTACAATTATCAGCAAAGCTGATATGTTAATCATGAGAAAGAAAAGATGGAAGATCTTAATTAAAATATTGCATAAAAATATAAAATAAAACTGACAATAATAATCATTCTATCTAGTATAAAAGAGAAGTAAAAATACAGAATATTGGTGTTTATGTTTTAAAATAATATATTAAAAATGCTTAGATAATGTGTGATCCATAAAGATGGCATGGCTTTAGAATAATAACCTGTTAACCAAGCACCAGTAGACCATATTCAATTCCTAGGGAAATTAGTAAGTTGTACCAGGTTATGAAGCCAAATGTGTGTTTCTCTGGTTCAATGGTTATACCTGTGATTTTGCATAGTGCTTTGCATCCAAGATGCTCGAAAGTTTGATAAATGATTAAATGAAGACATTGCAAGAAAAGACTCACTAGCCTAAGGAAGTAATAGATTAATTGCCATACTGTACGAATGTATACATCAAAATAGGGTTCCATGACAACACTAAAAGTAAATTACAGAGAATAATCAAGTTCTGAAATGAGTTTCCTATCTCTGTGCTTATCAGAATGTAGGAAGAATGGGAATTTTTACTATGGGTAACAACATGCTTCACATTAAGCTTAAAATATTTTAAGACAGGCAAACAAATAACTAAAAGAGTATAACTGGATTGTCTGTAACACAAAGGATAAATGCTTGAGGGGATGGATGCCCTATTTTCCATGATGTGACTACTACACATTGCATGCCTGTACCAAAATATCTGTATGTTCCCCAGAAATATATACACCTAGTATATATTAAAAAATTAAAAAGTAAAGAAACCAGGCAAACCATAAGTCTAAAGGATCTTTTCAGAATTTGAAGAATTAGGTTTTGTGGCTCAGAAAGACCATGTACTCTAGGAATATGTATTACTCCGAATACACAGGCAATGCCCGGGACATCTGCTAATATTCAGAGGAGAGAGTTAACTTGCAATTAATTAGACACAGACTTGCCAAACGGATGGCTTCTCTTTGTGATATCAAGTTAGGTAAATGATTTCTATTTATGTTTAGGAGGCCTTATTAAGAGGGCCTCTACAGACCAGTTGGGAAAGGCCCACAGATTATTTATGACTTCAGGAAAACTACAGAATTTTCTTTAAACTGAAGAAAAATACATCAAAAATAAGTTGTATACGGAATACAGAGAAAGTTCTAAAGCTGCAGTAAAAAGTTCACAGCATATTCCTAGCCACATAATCCTAAATGCATATTGGAAGCAAGGTCTGATAAAAGTTTATTCACTACACAGAATCTGAAATTCCTTTTTTAGGTTCTCAATTTTTCATTACTATACGCTAAGCCTTGAGGGATCCCATAACCTTTAAGACTGAAATTTAATTCCCATCTTCTACAATGGGATATCATGATGAATAAGCAATATCTGTAAATCAATCACTAAATTTTTCAGAAGAAAGTAACAGCAAGATTACTTCTCATCACCACTCATTTTCCCTACAGGAAGTATTTAGCAAGATTGATTAAAAACACTAGAGGATCAATGCAAGCTGCAGGTGGGACAGAAAAAGAATTGACTTTGGATCATTTTTGCAGTTCTTTAGTCCTGGCTGTAAGTAGGACATTTGATATTCACAGAGATATCATAAAGAGGACAGGGTGTTCAATCTACAATAGACTATTATAGATGGCAAGTGTTCTTTTCTATGTGAATCCAAAACCCTGTGCATTTATTTCTAACATCATCCAGTCATACTTTGTTAGAAACACTGACATACCTGTGAATCTCTGCTTCTAGAGGAGGTCTATGAATCACAGCCACTAGCACAGTGTTTGCAACAGAGTAGACAACAGGTATTTACTGAGCTTCCCTTGGGCCTATAAGTAATCAGGAAAAACTAAATAACTGGAGAAGAAAGAAGCTAATTATTAGGCTGAGTTAACATCACCTAACTCCTACAAAATAGTGCTTTCCTACTTGGAAATGATTGCAAGAGGTAGTAGCTTTTGAAAAAAGCAAACACATCATATTTATTAGCTCAGACATACATTTGATGGTTTTATAAGCTTCGTTTACAAGCTAATGACAAGGAAAACTCAATCAATGTTTCCTGATCATATACCATGTGCTAGGAAATATTCTAACGCTTAGTATATATCAGCAAAGAACACATAAGCACCTGACTTCATGGAGTTAATAGTCAAATGAAGGATAATATACACTTGATAAAAAAGCTTTTAAAAATGAATATATAAATTAGAATGTGAAAAAGGTGGTAAATGCTAAAAAAGAATAATAGAGAAAGGAAGATAAAAAATGTTGGTTGGGGGGATGTTTTAACTTTCAATAAGATGGCTACAGTAGGCTACACTGGTAAAGTAATAAAGTAGACAAAGACCTGAAAGAAGTTGAGGGGATTAGCCACATATATGAATACCTGGGGTGTTTCAGAGAATAGACTATAGTAAAATAATGACAATGTTACATGGCTCCAGACACTGGAAAAGAGCTTTAGGAGATAAGTTGCTAAAGCAAAATGAAAAATTAGTAGGAGAAGTAGGAAAAATCAGAGTAAACTGTGAGTGTTAGATTTGTGTAGAGCTTTGTTAAGTCAATGTAAAGTCCTTGATTTTTATCAACATTAAATGGGAACCATTTTGGGCTGAGGATTGATATGATCTATCTATGTTAAAAAGTCACCATGCCGAGTGTGTTGAGAATAAACCGTGGAAAGGCAAGGAGGAAAGGCAGGAGATAGCAAGGGATTACCGCAATAATAGAGATAAGAGATAAGTTTGCTAGCCCTTATCACTCCATCAAACATGATTACCCATGGCATCTACACATGATCATCATAGTAATAGAGATAAGAGGTAAGTTTGCTAGCCCTTATCACTCTATCAAACATGGTAACCCATGGGAACTACACAGCAAAACTCACTGGTCAATTCCCAGTACTTTTATTACTCAATCCTTCAGCAATATCTGACAAGGGGAAAAAAAGTAAGGACAACTTAAGAGACTAATGGGACACCATCAAGTATAACAACTTACACATTATTGGTGTGCTAGAAGAACAAGAGAGAGAAAAAAGAACAGTAAATATATTTGAAGAAATAATGGCAGAAAACATCCTCAGCCTGTGGAAGGAAATAGAAAGCAAATCCAGGAAGCCCGAGATAAATCAAATAAGATAAATCCAAAAAAGACCCACACTAAAACACATCATAGTCAAATTGTCAAAAGTTAAAGAGTGTTGAAAGCAGCAAGGAAAAACTGAATTGTCACATGTAAAGGAATCTCCATAAGACTATCAGTGTATTTCTCAGCAGAAATATTACAGACCAGAAGGGAGTTCAATGATATTCAAAATCCTGAAGGGAGATGGGGGTTGTTCTGTCAACCAAGAATACTACTCCCAGCAATCTTGTCTTTTGAAAATGAAGAGGTAATAAAGAGTTACACAGACAAACAAAAACTGAGAAAGCTCATCACCACTAGACTTGTCTTACAAGAAATGCCAAAGGGAGTTCTTCAAGCAGAAGAAGAGAACACAAATTAGTAATATAAAAATATATGAAAGTATAAAACTTTAAGTATAAAAGCAAGTATACTGTCAAATCCAATACACTCTAACACCAAAAAAAGTGCTTGGTAAACAATTATACCTCTAGTATAAAGGATAGAAGGCAAAATTACTGCAAATAAAACTACAGCTTTAATAATTTTTCAAGTGATTATGTATCAAAAAAATATAAAGTAGGACATTAAAAACATAAAATGTGGGAAGCAGAAGAGTAAATGTGTAGTTTGTGTATGTGATCAAAATTAAGTTGTTATCAATTTAAAATAGCCAGTTTTAAGTATAAGATATTTTATGTAAGCCTCAGGGTAACCACAAAGCAAAGTTTTATAAGAGTTATACGAAAGGTAAAAGGATAGGATCTAAAGCATACTACTAGAGGGAACCATCAAACCACAAAGGAAGAACACAAGAGGAAAAAAAGAACAGAAGACCGAAAATATAATTGCTCTACAGAAAACAGTGAACAAAATGTCACTAGTCCTGAAAATCCTAGCCACCAGAGCAATTAGGCAAGGGAAAGAAATAAAAAGCATCCAAACAGGAAAAGATGACGTGAAATTGTATCCATTTGTTGATATAATGATTTTATTAAAATATATAGAAAATCCTAAAGAATCTGCCAAAAATAGTTTAAACCAATTAGTTCAGTAAAGCTGTAGGACGCAAAATAAAAAATCAATAGTTTCTATGCAGTAACAATGAGCTGTCTGAAAAAGAAGAAAATAATCCCATTAATAATAGGATCAAAAAATACTTAGGAGTAAATTTAACCAAATTATAAGTGAAAGATCTGAATACTAAAAAGTTTAAAACATTAATTAAAAAATTAAAGATGACACAAATAAATGAAAGGATATCCCACATTCCTGAATTAGAAGAATTGTTAAAATGTCCATATTACCCACAATGATCTATAGATTCAATATAATCCCTATCAAAATTCCAATGTAGTTCTTCACAGAAATAGAAAAAAAAATTCTTAAAATTCATATGGAGTCACAAAAGACCCCAGATAGACAAAGCAATCTTCAATAAAAATAACAAAGCTGGAGGTATCACACTACCAGATTTCAAAATATATTGCTATGCTATAG